TCAATTTGGGAGGAATTGATCCCTCACCAGCTTCATGGATGGGCTAAAGCCAGTAAGTGCATACCCTTCAATTCGCCAAGTGATTGGCGAAGAGTGGGCATGTATAATGGTATGTGATAGAAGTCTGGAACTGCGGCATTCGTTTTTGTTTCTAAGGGAGAAACAAGGCTGAGAATAAAGCTGATGCACAACAGAGTGTATGTCAGAAAACAGAAAGAAATGTAGCCAGGGCCCTGGCCAGTACAAACCTGGAAGTTATTCTTCCTTTTGACTTTGGGGAGTGTCTTAGTCTGCTCAGGCTACCGTAAACAACTAACACAGACTGAGTGACTTTAACAACAGAAAGTTTATAGTCTCACAGTTTTGGAGGCTGGGAAGTCTAAGATCTGAGTGCCAGCATGGTTTGCTTCTGGTGAGAGCTTTCTTCTTGGCCTGTAGATGACCGCCTTCTTGGTGTGTGTTCACATGGCCTTTTCTCGGTACAAGTGCTTGGGGAGAGAGCACAAGCTCTCTGGTGTTTCTTCTTATGAGGACACTAATTCTACTGGCTCAGGGCTCTACCATTATGACCTCATTTAACTTTAGTTACATCCAAATTTCCTATCTGTAAGTATAATCACATTGGGGGTTAGGGCTTCAACATACAACTTTTGGAGGAACATTTGTAGCATTCTGCCTCTAGCCCCCTAAATCATGTCCTTATTGCATGCAAAGTACATTTATTTCATCCCAGCAATCCCAAAAGGCTTAATTCTTTCCAGAATCGACACTAAAGTCTGAAGTTTCATCTGAATATTGTCTAAATCAGATATGGGTGAGATTTGGGGTACAAGTTAACCCGAGGCAAAATTCCTCTCTAGTTGTGAGCCTGTGAAACCAGGCAAATTATGTGATTCCAAAATACTACGGTGGTATAGGCATAGAATAGATATTCCCATTTCAAAAGGAAGAAAAGTAGAGGAAGAAAGGGGCGATGGGTCCCAAGGAAGGCTAATCCCATCAAACTTAAAGATTTGAGAATAACCCTCCTTGGTTCAGTGCTCTACCTCCAGGTCCCCTGAGGGACGTCACCCCATAGCTCTGTGGTACGGCCCTGCCACGTTAGCTTGGCAAGGTGGCCCTGATGCTGCAGCACTGTGCTGCAGCCTTGGCACCAAGGCTCTTGGTGGGGGTATCCTGGTCCTGTAAAACCCAAGAGACTCCACCCTTTGAAACTGAGGAGGATCCATCCTTGCCCCCTGGGCCTGTAGTGGGAGTGGGAGCCCGAAAGGTCTCTGATTCCCTTCTGGGTCGTTCTTCCCTTTTCTTAAAGGATAAAGCCTGCTTCCAACTGAATAGCTCTATGTTCCCATCCCATAGAATCCAAGAAGCCTGAAAACCTTCTTTCATTCCATCTTGTTTTCTCTTTACCCTTTAGTTTAAACTCTCAGTGTCTCTGCTGGTATAATTCCATATCTATTCCTATAATAGTATATTATTAGAAGAATATTTTCTTTTTATTACCAGCCTAATATGAATTTACATAGAAAACATAACAAACTCCTAAAGTGTATATCTCCTCTTCTCAAGGAGGTAAAATCGTGAAAACTGAAAAATTTTATACTGGCTTCCTCTATCATTATAAAAGTGACACTCTTCACTTGTGTCGTGAAATTTAGATCAGAAAGAATTTAAGTTCCCTGTGGAGAAATTCAGCAAGTCTTCACTGTCCTAAACTGAATCTTGATCATGTAACTATTTTGGGGGGAGGATATTGTGAATTACGAATTGTCAAATAAAAATACTTTTTGGTATTTAGGTTACGTTTAATTATTAAATGTAAATGAATTTTGGTATGTGTACTATTGTCTACTACTGCAGACACTGTGAGAGAAACAGTTTACAAGATACGGTATCTGACTGAATATAAGGGATGATAAAATTGAATGTGTTTTTACATTTTACCTGGAAAGTAATGGTGAGACAAGAAGTCAGCAGAAAGGGGAGAACTTGCAATTTAAGACTTTTGTAACTTAGGCAATTTATGTAAACTCTCCATGACCTCAACTTTCTCATCTTTTAAATGAGTACATAACAGAATACGCAGTATATCATGTGTGATTGTGGTAATGATAGAATTAATGCATGTAAAACATATAACACAGTGCTTGGTACATATTACTCAATAGATGTTAGTTACTTTTATTATGAATGTTATTCAGGAGTACAGTTTGGACATGGTAGATTTGAGGTGATATTTATCTCTCTTGTTAAAATTCTTAAGGTATTATGGTAAGACTTAAATTCAGATAAATGGATCCTTGGACTATATATAAAGTATCGATTCTCACTACTATATTTCAACAGTTGAATTGTTAACTTGGATATAACAAGGGAAGTGTAACTGCTGTGGCAGTAATTCAGACTAGAACAGGGTTTCGGCACTATTGGCAGGTTGGCTGGGAAAATCTTTGTTGTGGGGAGGAAGACTGACCTCTATATTGTACTATATTTACCAGCATCCCACTTTATGTCCACCAAGTGGTGACAACCAAAAATGTCTCCAGCCACTGCCAAATGTCCCTGGAGGGCAAAACTCTCCTGAGAACCAGTGGACTAGAAGGAATCATGTAAGAAGAGTCTTCAAATATATAAAGAAGTATTAGAATATAGAAGAAGGAAATGGCTGATTCAGTGTAACCCAGAGACAGAAGCAGCACTGATTAATAAAAGTTAGAAAGACAGCTTAACAGAAAATTTTCATAGTTTGAGTTAGCTAAAAATAAAATTCACCAACTTATGAGCCAGCAGAAGCTACAATGTGTATTTAATTAGGAACCGGATCACTATCAGAGTTGTGCTGGGAATTTCTTTCCTGGGAGGGAGTCTGAACTAAATAATGTCATCGATCTCTTCTAATGATAAGATGCTCTCATTTTGTCAGGTTAAATGACTTATATTTGGAAATGATTCCAAATGAGGTCATAGTTGAAGCCATGAGAATAACTGAGCTCTTTTTCTGAGAGCAAGAATAGATAATAGCATGGTCTTGTGAATGAATTTTCAGGAATGTCCATAATTTAAAACAAGGAATCAGGAATGCAGTCTACTTTCACTGACTCCATAGTGTGTCAAGAAGGATGAAGGAAGCCAAGAAAATAAAGTGTTCAGAAGGGTTTTAAAGGATGGATGGTTGGTATTGTCAATTGAGAAGTAAAAGACAGTTGATAGAGAAAAGACTAGTTTATTTAATTTTTAGAAAGTCATGATGAGGAAGTACCCACTAAAATGTTGCATAGTATATAAACATTAATTATTAATGTTAACATTTTTATTAGTATACAAATTGGATACCACATTATAAGACGTTAAATAAGACTAGGTTATGAGGAAATTGACATGGAAGTGGCTACATGGACCACTTGCTCAACAAACTAGAGGAAGCTACAGGGTTAATAAAATAGGGCTATTGTTTTTTATTTTTTAGGTGATGTGGGACTTGAGCACTTCTGAAAATTTAAATTTAGATGAAATAGAATGAGTTTATAAATACTAGAGGGAAAGATAATTATGTAAAAAGCAGTAAGGTACCTCAGTGGTTGATACCGGGGAATATGGAAAACAACTGTTATGACATAGTGTGCAAGCTCAGAGTTCAGAGTTCCCAACAGATGGGAAGGAAAGAGTCTGAGGCTTTGAGGCTCGTTTTGAATTTTGGCTCTACCACTTAAACTCCCTGTGTGACTCTAAGCAGTTTACTTTGAACTTTTCTGAGCATTGGATTCTTCTTTTCTAAAATAAGAATAATATATATCCTATCTGGAAATGTTCGTATAAAACTAAACCCAGTCATCAGTGTGATGTATCTAGCGCAGTATCTGGAATGTGTTTAGCACTCAGTGGATGGGTGCTAGAATTATCCATGTCATTGTCAGCATCATTGAAAGATATTCTAAGATTTCTTTAAGTGAGGCAAGGAGAAAAAATATATTAAGGATTTGACAAGAGTAGAAAGTGTCAACATTTACACTGCTTATGAGTGAATCAATTGATGAGTACAAGGATGATCAGTTAAGGGTGAAGACCAGGTTTTTGGTAGTGGTCAGTGACCAGTGAATTTATAGTGGCACTGTTCTGCTCATTTCTGGGTCTTTTCATAGCATAATCTTTGACCACAGAGCAAAGGAAGGGAAAAGAAACAGTAATGCCTGGTTGGGATTGGTTAACCAGATTCACATAAATCTGTTATTTTGAGATTTGTCAGTCTCAAATTACTGCTAAAAAGGTATCCTCTGTTACATAGTCTATCGCATATGGTACCTAATACATATTGACCACATGTATATACATTGTAATTGAATTATTTCTTAATTTAAACATTAGCATATACAAGGGATTCTCAACTTCTGTAGAGCTGACATTTTGGACAGAATAATTCTTTGTCGTTGGGGGCAGTCCTGTGCATTGCAGGATGTTTAGCAGCATCCCTGGCTGCACTCAGTAGACGCAAGTTGCACTTCTCTCCCAGTGTGATAATCAAACATGTATCTAGACATAGTCAGATGTCCCAGTGGTGGGATGGGTGGGAGGGCTAAATCACCTTCAGTTGAGAACTACAGGAATATTCTCAGATATAAGATAGTTGCTAATAAAGGTAAAATGAATAAATGTGTGATATTTAAATTTATAAAATTGCCAGATTTTATGACTCAGTAGCAATTCTAAAAAAATTTATTGCTGTATAAAACCAATAGAATTATAAAGTTACATTCCTTCTGACAGAGAAAATCTGAAAGATAGACTATAATATATATTAAAGAATATAAATAATTTTTCTACCTGTGTACTTTGCTTTTACTTGAGAATGTTTTACAAACTTCTAATTTATCTGTTTTGCTTGAATATTTACCAAGGCAAAGTGATTATTTCTATATATTTTTAAGTCCTCTACATACTCTTTTATCATTTCATGACACATTGCAAGTGTTTTAAGCAAAAATTATTTGTGTTTTATTTTCTAGTTGTTTTTTATCCTTATTACTGGTGGCCGCTGTGGTGTGGAAGATCAAACAAACATGTTGGGCTTCTCGACGGAGAGAGGTAACAGTAATATTACTTAATCTTTAGTTTAAAGATTCAAGCAAACATATGGATCTGTATTCCTTAATTGACATCCTCCTTTCAAATAGAGATTTTCAAATCAGTTTCATTTATTAAGATTGAGCAAGTCAATCTAGTATTTTTTAAGCTTTAGAGCAAAATTTGCCACTGTCATTTTAAATCAGTATCTGTAGAAGCATTGGTTAGTTGCAGTTTTTTTTAAATAGTGTTAGAATTTATAGTGGATACCAATATTAATTTTGTTGATTAACCTGCAATCTCTTTAATTTAGGTAGTTATACTATAAAAAGATTATTTTTATAACTTAAAATTTAAAACAATATTCTGAGCAATAAATATTAATTTTTGGTTTGTATCTTGTAGAATTCTTTTTTTTGGTAATCAGATCTTTTTCACGGGTATCTGATAATCCAAGTATGTTTGAATTACACCTCAATTTGATACATTTCTATATCAGAATTAATCATGTGTGTCCCTTATAATCTTAAAATTGATAAAAACAGTAATACTCTTACAGAACAACAGCTGATGATGTAAATATATTAAACAAATATAGTTTCCTAACTTTGTATGTATTAGTTAATTGAAAGGAGCGAAGAAATATAATAATATGAGGATCCTAAATGTGCAGTAGATTTATGGTTCTATACCTCATATAATGAAAAAGCGTTTCTGTTTTTATTAATATTATTATATTCTATTACTTTTTATTTTTATAAATTTATTTATTTATTTATGGCTGCATTGGGTCTTCATTGCTGCACACGGGCTCTCTCTAGTTGCGGCGAGTGGGGGCTACTCTTCATTGCAGTGTGCGGGCTTCAGTAGTTGTGGCTCGTGGGCTCTAGAGTGCAGGCTCAGTAGTTGTGGTGTACAGGCTTAGTTGCTGTGCAACATGTGGGATCTTCCCGGACCAGGGCTCGAAGCCGTGTCCCCTGCATTGGCAGATGGATTCTTAACCACTGTGCAACCAGAGATGTCCGTCTATTACTATTAATATTAGTATTATTAGCATTCTATTTGCTGTTGCATTTCCCAGTATATTTTTATACGTTTAATTTTGTGAAACAATGTATAGCAGAGATATAATTACTTACCTTCTTGTTTTCTACATATAAGAAGATTATATTTAAAAACAATCCAGAATACTCCAAATTATAGAATTAGTAAATGACATGAGTTCTTCTTAATTACTCTCCTATTTTCAAACATCCAGTGCCTACCTATAATGTATTTGCAAACTTGACACCACTCCCCTGCAAATAAATTACTTACCCTAATTCTCTCCACCTCTCTGATTTTCTATACGTGGGCAGTGCAACATCACTGACAATTTACTTGGTATGGTCCTATGATAAAATGTAATCCAATATAAAAGGAATTTTTAAAATATTAATATATAAATATTTTGCAAAAAGTGGAATTCTGTGTGGAGATAAACAATCTTCTATACATGCTAGACAATCTATTAAGGTAAAAGTATGGATTCAGGAAGGAAAAAACAAGTGGTAGTCAGGCAGTATGAAAACATTCCATAATGGAGTAGAGCAAGTGAATATTTATGCCTCTTATCATTAGAAAAGAAGTTAGGCTCAATCAGGGAGCCTGGGTTCTCACTTCATTATGACTAGCAATATTTAAATATCTGATTTCTAAAGTTTATAAAATGTAACTGTATAAAGATAGAATTGTGAAAACATCTGTGTACAACTCTGCCATTAACTAGGTGGGTAAGCAGTCTAATTGAGTTCAGTTTCCTCTAAAGAGAGGCATCGTACTATATAACTTATTCTCAGTTTGAGGTTCCTAGAGCTCTAGGAATGTTTATATGTAATGACTAAAGTTTAGAAACTATTAAATATTTGAGAAAAATAGTGGGAATTGTTCATTTAACTATGAAACTTCCACACTTTTCAAAATGACAAATCGCTTTTGGTTAATATATCACCTCAGTGTAGTATGTAGTTTATTGCATATTATCAGAAGCTCTGGCCAGCTGATACTACTTTAATTTTTAAAATACAAATATGAATTTATTTTTTGATTAGAAGTCAAAATCTAAGTATGTGTTGCACATGTGAGAATGGAGGAAAAATAGGAAGGAAGGAAGAACTAGATTAGGGACCTCTGGGCCAGTTCTAATCTGTGGTTCTAAATGTTACTATGTCCTCTTGATAATCCTCAATTTAATGTCCTTCTTTCCAAGTCTTCCAGGTAATGAATCTTTGTTAAAGAATATAATAATATTTGCATTTAATTTGCTTCCTTTACCAAAATACAAAAGCTGTCCTGTTGAGAGGTCATGTCATGTTACAATATCATGTTAAAAAATATTATGGGGAATTTTATCATTTTTAATTTTATTAAGTCTTTTAAATACAGATTTCTAAATGTCTTAGAAACCATTCATATGTTGATGCCCAAAGTAAAGTTGATATTATTTTGATGGCTACCAGACATCTATTTAGCTAATAATTTTTATATTATTAAAAGATTGCCATTTTGGTTTTAGAGACCCAATGACTTTTAACTACACAGTTGTAGCTAATATGATAATCCCATTTATAGACTTTATGTAAGTGGGGTAAAAATGTGTTTTTATCTCTCTTTATTCAGTTTTAACTATTAGATTAACACTAATATTCCTCAAAGGAAAATACCTCAATATTTTTTCTTTATATGGAGATGTTACTTTCTCCAAAGCATTAAGACATCAATTATTGTAAACCTCAGAGGACCCCTATGAGTAGTAGAATGACAGTTTATCTTTAACAGTAAATGAAGGTTATTTAAAGGATTCTTCCTTCTTGGTATTTCTGTAATTTTGTTATAGGAATTGTATTACTTGCTTTTCTAAATATAAGGACTGTTTTAAAATGAAAATAATCTTTAGACATTTTAAAAATATATTGTGTTAATTAAACCAGACATATTGCTTTTTTGTTTTTAACTGTTCGAAGGTTTGGGTCTCATAAACACACACGTACATTTTTTGTGTTATAATTTTAATATCAGAAGCCCATTAATAATGTTATGCCTTTGAATAATACCCCTTGAATTCAGGGGCCCTTAAAAACACAAAAATGAAACTATAAAGGACCTTAATTTTAATGTTACCTCTTCATATGGGAGCTCGAAACCCATTTCTGTGATAACCCTATTAAAAATAAGAAAGTTTCGTGTGCATGTGTGTGGAGGGGATGCTGTGCTAATTAATGGAAACAATAAGTGGACATTGATCAGTGGAAATATTATAAAATATGAGAAGGATGAGTTTATTTTTATAGCTTATGCTTGTTACAGAGGTCTTGAAAACCTTGAGTTTCAAAGGCACCTTGAAGTTTAGATAAATAGTCATTACATTACAAAAACATTTGTTAGAGCCAGGTATATATTAAAAGGAGACTTTTTTTTTTTTTTTTTTTGCGGTACGCGGGCCTCTCACTGTTGTGGCCTCTCCCGCTGTGGAGCACAGGCTCCAGACGCGCAGGCTCAGCGGCCATGGCTCACGGGCCCAGCCGCTCTGCGGCATGTGGGATCTTCCCAGACCGGGGCATGAACCTGTGTCCCCTGCATCGGCAGGTGGACTCTCAACCACTGCGCCACCAGGGAAGCCCAAAAGGAGACTTTTTAAATAGCATCGTCATACTTAATAATTTTCATGTTTAAACTAAAATATGTGTTTTTAATAGGTATTAAAGGCACAAACCCATTAAAATTTTATAATTGCTCCTTGTAATAAAGGTATTTAATCTTATATTTGACTAACATAAGTGAAAATATCATGCATATCTTAATAGTTATAAGAAGTTAATTTTTTCAGTTAACAACATTTATTCCCATATATTTTGGATTGTTTAACTGTAGTATGCCTCCATTAAAATCTAGTTGGAAAATCTGTAGAATAATAGATCCCATAAGCAAAGGTAAGGTTATATTAATCAACTTCATATTACTAGTGGGTTTGTGTATTTGAATGATTATATTTCCTGTACCAGGAACTTTTATTTCTTTTATTCTCTTTACAGTTCTTTAAAGAATAAAAAATATATTAATATAGTTTGTTACCACATTATTTGCTTATACTTCATAGTATAGTATGCATCTCTAATGCTTAAAAATCAATAAGAACAATATTGTCTGGGATAAGTCAATGTCCAATGAGTAACTGATCTTGTGTTCATGATGCTCTGTTTTCCTGCACATTTCACAGTCACGCAGCATAAAACCTAACTTTGAATTTAACATAATCAACCTGAAGTTTGAATTAAAAATAATAAACTAAACCCCATAAATAATAGCTCTGAGTGACAAACTACTTTTCTTAAGGCAAACAGATTAACTCTTTCCTCTGTTTCATGGGCACAAAAAAACAGAAAAGAATTAATATTATTAAGTTATACTTTACTAAGGAAATGTCATGAGTCAACAATTTATGATAAAAATCATCTCTGAGAGTCTAAATTTGTGGTAAATGGGTTCTCATCTAAATATTATTAATGTAATGCAGCATTGTTTACAAAGTAAGTTACTGTACCTCTTTAGAAATACACCCAACTTATTTAGAGAGAGGAGAGTGGGCACAGAGTGAAGAGAGTAATGAGAAAATGTTACTTCGGGTGGAAAAATTAAAATTAATTAATTTAGGTACTGTATGAAACTTCTTGTACAATTTCTTAGTAATTTAAGAATCTGTATTTTATTTTTAATGGTCAAAATTGCAATATCTAGATAAAGCTTTCCATAAAACATGTTCCTTGGTCAAAAAGCAAGAAGTTTTAAAAATCATTATTAAATAATGAGCTCAAATAAATGTCTATCTTGGCAGTTAATGGCCTTAGTATCAACTTATTTTTCCTTAACATTTTCTGTAATATTATAACACAAATCAATCATTTGACGTACCACTTAGAAAGAAAAAACTGTCAATTAACTATGGCTCTCTTGCCACTAAGAATATTTGTTTTATACTATTCAAA